AAACAGGAAAAATGCTGTCAGAGATTAAAATTACAGGTTTTGTAGAGAATTCAATTCTCTATCGATTGACTGTAAAATGAGAACTTGAAACTTCATAGAAGGGATTGATAAACAAGAACAAAAGTGGCCGGTTTTATCTGGCCCACCCGTTAGAAAAGGTAATTATCAAGTAATTTAACAAGTATAAGTACTAGAAAAGTACTTCATCAAATATTTGGCAGATAATTGGGTAAGTACTTGCGAAATATATGCAAGTATCCGAAGTTCTTCCAAGTGCTCGGCAGGTAATAAATTTAAAAATACTTGATAAGTGCTTAACCAAGTACTATAGAAAATTTGCAAGTAGCTAAGTATTTAATTTCAAGTACTACTAGGGAAGTAACCATAAAAAACAACAGATTTTCTTGCAAACAGGATTTCCAATTGTTTTTAAACAGGGTGGGGAGATTTTTATGACAGACAGTGTTTTTTAAAAGTTGGTGGACAGATTTTTTAAACAAATGAAACATTTGTAAAATGAAAAGAACTTTTATAAAGTTAAATAAAGGGTAATAAAAGGTTGGACAAATTTGCGGTTCCAAAATTCCACAAATCTGGCGGATAGTGCCAAAATTTAGGGTGGGGATGTCCCCTACTTCCTACCCTAATCGGAAACTCTGCTTGCGAAATCGAAGGAGAATATCATAGTGTGTTTTTTAATTAAAACTCAGTTTATGTTATCAATGTTAAAAACTGAAATAAGGAAAGAAAATTTTTCCAAGTTCAACACGCACTATCCATTTTATGGTAAAACATTTTCTTTATTTTTTTCTTTAACTAATGCTACTGTCACACGTTCTGACACTTCTGTTGTTTTTTAAAGATAAACGAAAGCTTCATTTAAAATGGTTAATTATTGTTAGTGTTATGGTATTTGTATGGTTTACATTCATTTATACCAAATTTAATTTTCAAACGCCGCAGCATTCAAAAACGCATGCTGCCATTGATCTTTATCGTACAATGTTCCAGACAGGGTCGCAAATAAGAGTCAAATATTGAGGAGTGAGGTTGTGGTTTCCCTCTGAGGTAGCGTAAAATTGATAAAAAATAGTTTGTGCAAGGAATAACAACACCTTTTTCAACTATTCGGGGGATGCGCATCCTCCCATATCCTCCTGATAATTGTGACCCTGGTGCCAGGCAGTATCGATTCTCCATGTGAATATCGAATAAAAACGTTTTACGCATGCTCCGGATTTTGTTCGTATGTGAGCACAAAAAGACAAAAATGTGAATGCCTGACGCGAATCATTCATAATGATTTTGCTCAAAATAAAATGTATTGTCAACCACTCACAGATAACTGTCCAACGTACAGCGCATTTGAAAAAGATCGCTTATCATCGACTTTCGAAAATGTGAAAAAAATACCTCCGTATTTGTTATCAAATTTTATATTAAATAATCAAATACCGGTTGACTATAATTACGACTATCGATTAGACCGTTCCAATAAGCTCAAAATATGGATAGTTCAGATGATTGACAAATTTAGAGAGACAGCAAGAAAAAAAGAGCCAATTTGTAGTTATCAGACTCAAGAATTATATCTAGTTATTAACGCCTATCTGAATATGGCTGTGAGAGACAAACAGACGGCCGTTATTGGTTCAGAAATGTCGTGGCGAGAATTTTCTTAGGTAGGTAGGATTTAAGAAAAACTGATATTTTTATATTTACTCTTTTAGAATATGGTGCTCGATTTGTTCAAACAACTGAATACGCAACTATTCATTCTGAAGTGCCAAATTTAAAAGCGATAACACCACAAAAATATGAACAAGAACGTTCATCTGATCAACGAGAAGATCGATTGTACGACAGTGTCTGGTCATTTAGTAGTCTCGAGCATGATGATCTTGGCTGCTATTCCGATCCGTTGAATCCGAATGGTGATATGCAGACAATGACCAAACTCCCATGCATGTTGAAACCCGTTGGAATTCTTGTGTTAACTATGCCAGCATTAACCAGTGGTAGAATTTCGTTCAACGTTCATTGTGTCTATGGTCCTATTTGATATCCGATCGACATTTTCATTTAGTCCGAGTATTCGCATCGATTGTGCAAGGAAGAGACGCATCAAATACACCGATATTAGTTATGCAAAATAAAATTGGATGTTTGTAAAGATATCTGATCGAAAACTCCGCTTGAGTACGCAACGCTCCGTCTACTTTTGTTTTTTTTCTAAAAACTTTTACAATCAACGTAAAAACTAATTCGAAACTCTAAACAAATAATCGAGTAGAGTAAATATTTCTTCATATATGTGCTGAATACAAAAAGGCACTCTTCCGCCACTCTAGATGAACTTTATTTTTTTATTAACGTTGATTAACGTTAATATTTCGTCATCAGAGATCCGTTTAAAAAGTTTCGATGAGCGAACAAAAAACTGAAAACTATACCAGTTTGTAACGAAAATGTTCACTCTACTCAATTATGCATTTAAAGTTTCAAATCAGTTTTTACTTTGGTTATTAAAGTTTTGTGAACAAGAATAGAAGCAGGTCGTTATGTGAACAAATCCAACTTTTACTACAAGTTGAAATCCGTTGCGTTAACAACAGAAGATCAGTTTTTTAGTGAACGATAAAGTCAGTTACCAGTATGTTTTCTTGTTACAAAAATTTCAAGGTGATATAACAAAATAAAAAATACATCGCTTTGTAACAGATTTTAAATATATTTCATCACAATACTTTACAATTCCTAAAGAGTTGCAGTACAATAAATTCTAGTCCGTTGCACCGTATTAAATTTATTACAACGTTGTAATACATTGAACTTAACTGACACTAGTCTTCATGTTGCCGTTGACAATGAATTTTGCTTATTATTTTTTAGTCTTGATGGTGATGAACTTGTTCATTGCCTTGCCGTTGTTCTACTTTTGATATTCTTTTTCCTAGTTGAACCTTGTCTTGATGTATTTGATTTCTGCTTTTGTTTATTATTCAACACACTGTTTGCATTAGATGATGGATGCCTGTAGAATTGCTGTGGTGATACTTGTAATGACACTCTTTTACTTTTAATTACCGGTCTTTTTGATATGCTTTTAATCGATTTCATCGTATGTTTAGTGGCATGATGATGAACTGATTTTAATCGTTTTATTTTTGTTGATTGAGAATGATGATAGGGATAACGATCAATATTGGTTGATATACATCGAAATGTATCTGTGGAAGCACCATCTTTTTCGTACCGTTTAAATAGATGTTTTTTTGTCAAATATGCACGATATTCATACGATTTTCTCATACGGATTGATAATTTTTTCCATTTTTCGGATAACAAATGATTAATATCTCGTATATTCAGTTTATTATGACGAAAAATTAATTTTTTACGTTCATCTTTACAGAAAATATGAAATGGTGTAATTTTTGACCGCTGTTTTATTGGTACCGATGTCATAGATTTCGATGAGGCAACTATAGATTTTGAATGTTGGTGTACATCATTATCATTCACCATGGGATAACTATTCATACTTATAGTGTTTAAAAACGCAGTTTGATATCGATCATCATTGCCATTTTTAGAACTTGTCAATGTTGTTGACGATAATGTTGTATAAGGAAATTTAAGTTTTGCTGCAAATAATTTTGCTGCTGCTGACTTATTCTGATTATTACCATTTTCATTGTTACTTATATCTTCTAAAAATTGTGCCAAAGATACTTTTTCTTCATCCGATAGTTTTTGCCAAACAGTAAACGAAGCATCTAATAAATGTTCCAAATCAAATATTAATTGTGGATAATGAAGTTTTACATATGTTCCTAAAACTTTGCTAAAATTTGCGAAATAACGACAATATTCGTCAAGTGCTCTTGATCCACTTGTTGACAGTTGGTTTTCAGTACATTGTTGTGATTTTGCAGTCATTACTTTTTATGTAAAATTGTATGATGATGTAAAAAAAACGAAAAAACAAGCTGAATACTCGCTATCGTTCAGATCGCTTCGTCGTTTTTCTAAATGTTTTATACTCAATGATAAAAAAAAGGAAATTGTTGTAAAATGAAAAAGTGTTGCATAGCACCTTGAACGTGGCGGTAAAATTGCTATATATAACTTACTTTTTCATTACAATTACGATAAGAGAATTAAACACATTATATAGGTCTTTCTATTACAACGAAGATTCTAATCGTTTTCTTAAACCCAGGATAAATATACTTAGGGCATACCAAAAGTAGTGGCAGTGGTATTTTTATCCCTTATAGAAAGGTTAAAGAAACTTTCTTTTTATATAGTCTGATAGAGAAAAGAATGTTCTATTTTTC